TAAGGGTTAATTCTAATGCTATTAATGAGTTATGCTCTTGTATTCAACGATATATAAACACTTTATAATAGATACGATGTGATCGTACCGCAAGTTTAAATGTACTGTGTATATATGATGGAACGGTCTCGGGAATTGAGACGGCTATGTATACAATGACCCAGAACCCCTTGAGCTGGAAGATGACTAGCGTCAAGATCTACATTTGAATTTGTGACGTTGAGGCAACTATGTGGTCGTTCGGAGTGCTAGTCCTCGCTAGTATTTCGTCTGATGTGAGGGCAACCTGAATAAGTAGTGTGTCATCGAGCAGGGCCGTGATCGTAGGCTGTATAAATGCTGGTAAGTGTCGAGCCACAATTCCTTAACTATTTCGGAATCGGCTCTCGTGAGTCCTGCTAAAGACTGCAGGCTCGTGAGGTGGTGGCTCGGTTTAGCATCATCCAGGGGGTGACGTGCTAACAATGTTCTCAATCAATCCTCCCTTGATGGTAGGAAAGGTCTGAGAGTTACCTCTTTGAGGCGATCGTAGACGTCAAGTACATTAGGCTAGAGGACAGCCTCACATATAGCGGCTATGTGATCCCCAGGTAAGATTTCCAGAGTGTAGGCGTGCTTTTGCCACTGGTTCATAATGTGGGGGACCTCGAACTTAGCCTCCGGTGTTGCGAACCAGACTTCTGGAACGTGGGGGATAAAATAAACAGGTCGGAAATTAATTACCCGTACATAGGGGTCTATTATATTAACACTATTCTTATCGCTATCCACCATTTCGAAAAGTTGTTGCAAGTGTAATATACATCAAAAGGTATCGGTATGAGATATGCGACAAGTGTGGATAGATGAATAATAGACTCACGGTAGTTGGCTTCTTTGGGATAATCTTCGGCAGTGGAGGCATGTTCGAAGTTGTCGTTCACCAGCTGTGGGAATTTCGAGTCGCAGTTGACTATGATCACCGCTAAAAACCAACTACGTGCCAATTATCAGGTTAAATCCCTCAGCAGCATAAATATTAGAAGGACAGATGTAGGTTGTAGTTAGGATGAATTTGTTGGTGATCTCGTGGTATCAAATAATACCAAGATAGTGCCAAAGTTCACAGGCGAGACTACCGCGCCTATATGAGTAAGTTCAAGGCCACAAACAACGGAAGATTGTTTTTGGTATAATTAAACAAAAAGGTACAGTAAGACAATCACTGGTACAGTTGGTTATAATAATAAATGTCTACATTACACCAATCGTGTTCTCCTCAAAATAGTGGATCATTACAATCTCTTCTGAGTAAAGGTGGGTGTAAACCAAGAGATACTCCATATGCACCCAACAAAGCCTAGTGACAGAAGGATTCCAGTGTACTGTGATACACGAAATTGATGAATGTCGAATAACAGCTCACTTCGTTCATGATCGAACCAAATGTGACAATAAGCACATAAATACGATTCGAAAATTCCTGTTCACTATTAGGAAGTAAATAATTGGAAGACGAATTGTGTCATTGAAACGGGTTAATAATTAACTGATTACTGTATTATAGTTTGATTAATTGACCGAAGATTACCTAAGTTCACCAATCAATTGCTTCTTTTCACTTGAACTGGAATGGTTCAGCATATGACTTTCAATATTAATGGAAGGAATCTGATTCTGAAGTCAACCTGTTCGACCAGTTATCTGTCTAAGTCAGGTAGAATGTAAGGACGAATATATATATTTTAATTAAACACATGAACATTGGTACTAGGATGAATTAAATATATATGAGTCATGCTTGGTCATTCGATTTATCTATGTTATACAACTGCAAATAAGGAAAGGGAAACTGAACTTAGAGTGTGGTACGGTTTAGACGTGTAGAGGGCCTATGATGTCTGAGTAGGGTGCATATGTGTTCGTGCGTGCTAAATCAGTGGAAACGAAGCCCTCACCATGTAGTCTTACAAACATGTGTACTCTATCTTCCATAGGTATTTCAGAGGGGAGACAGTCCCATATATTTGCACATTTTATGAGGAAGGCGTTTTCCTGAGTTTGTCCAGTGTATTTCTCCACTTTGACCGTTGATACTTTATCTCGAAAGTCTTATATATGTAGGTCTTGATTGAGAATTATATTATAGGTGGAGTAAGTAAGATTGTAGTGCTAGCTAGTATTTCTCTAGAAGGATGTTTCAAGCATTTACACCAAATTTTGGAGCGATTTACTGATTATGGAGTGATTGTCAATCAGTCGAAATGCGTGCTTGACGCAAAACACCAGGGGTTTCTGGGAAACAATACCAGTGAAAAAGGTATCAGACCTAGGGATAGAATTGAGGCCATCAAACATTTTTTCAAACCTGATTTAGTGAAAGGCCTTTGTTGTTCTTCAAGAATAGTTCATTTTTATCGACATTTTGTTCATCATTGTTTGGTGGCTCTAGAATCTTTAGGAACAATACGGCAGGTTCATGGGAGAACTTCTGGCATTTTATTTAAACATAAACTATTTTACACGTTTATTCCAAAGGACAGGTTCTGTAATATCCACAGATCAAAAGCTTTTGACTTATTCATGTAGAATTATGGTACACTTCGTTACTAGTATTACTATTATAATAGACTTAATCCTAAAATTGTAGATTTGTGATGAGGTGATTATCTAATCTATAAGATCTTATATGGAAGTCCAGCATTGTCTACACTGACCGGTCTTATCGGAATCATCACCGATATATCATGGAGAACACATTTAGACTGGAGATAGAACAATATATTTAGCATGAATAAAATAGTTGAGTTACACAGAATGAGCAGTATCAGTTCAGTTTCCCTTACTTTCCTTATTTGCATTTGTGTAGTATAGACAAATCGAATGACCAAGTGTGACAGGAAATACATTGTACTTGGTATCTGTTTTTGTGAATTTGTTTAAGCTTCAATGGTTCCTTAAATTATGCCAGTCTTTATATTTATTGGTACCATATGAAAGGTCAGTGCCCAAGGGCTACTAGAGGGGCATATTGTTCCCGACAGCGCGAATTTAGTAATCTTGCTCTGAGGGTGAAGCTATGTAACTTCTGACATCTGGAACAAGCTCGACGAACGCGCTTTCCCAAGGTCATAGTTCGAACCAGGCGCCCCACAAGCCTACTTTATAACAACTATAAACTTAAAAAGCTGCATTACATAAATACTTAGCTCGACCGAAACCCTAATACACTTTTTGTCGAGATCGGATCTGGTATGTAACGTGGACGCGATGCCCCTTTGGAAACTATTCTTATGAAAACACATTATATCTGAACGAATGAACTGCTATCAACTTTTATAGATTATAATTACTAAACAACCTTGCTTGAGATGCATACTGTGAACGAGCATATGTTGTAAATTGTAGATCATGCTTGTAAAAATGGCGTGTACCTGCTATTGCAGAAATATATTATTATTATTATTATATGTTCGAATTCGGATTTCGCATTAGCAATATAATTCAGGGGTCGGTAGTGAGCACGACCTTTCAATAATTGACCTTCCGTGATAACACGTGGTGATTCTTAGTGCTATGTCGCATATTCATGATGAGTACGTTTTGCTATCTATTAGTTTTGGTGGACAAGATAAGTGGTATTTTGATCTGTAAGGCTGCTTAGTTTGATTCCATGTAGCTGGTAGTCCGGAAAAATGTCTTAGGCCTGTAGCTGTGTTCAGAAACCAAGAAGCTTTCTTCTGTTAAAATCGATTTACAAGCTATTTGAGCTTTGGAAATCTGAGCCCAAAATAGAACAATGAACATAGACTACAACCAACATCCAGTTAAGACAATTTCTAGTTCCAAGATCAGAAATATTTGAGATCTCTTCAAACGTTTTTGTTCGTTGCATTCAGCAAGTATTTACTATCCATACTTATCGATGGCTGACCTTGTGTTGCTGGATCATGCAGACTTCAGCTCCTGTGCCAGCTACATATTTAGAACCCGAAGTTCTATACACCACATAGAAGACGGATCAACAGAAACTGACGTCACTCCACCCTGATCTCCGCTTTTATTGACATGGGGGAATTCAAAAAAGTTTGCAGTTTGTTACGCTTTTTATTTGCTCAGATTCTGCGCTTGAAGTAATATCTATAAATAGGTCCTGCATCCATCAGTATTTTGGAAAGTATGCCCTGTTTGGACAGTTTAGGAGTCCTTGACTAGCTCCTTTTCGCTAACGTGTTGGCAATAAATGCATGTAATATTTCCATCTTCCTTGTAGTGGTAGTTATGCTAGCAGTATAGTGTGAACACAACTTTACCACTTGTCCAGCCAAGGTCGAAATGCTAGGATTCACTGTGGGATTTCGCCCATCAACAAGTGACCGTATACATGAGGTATTTACTGAATAAAACCACATTAATCAAATTTAAGACCTTTAACTCATCTGATGTTATTATACGCTGATGATGTTAGAGTACGGAATCTGATATATCCTCCATGTTTTCTTTTTACCAGATCAGGACAACTCAGAGAACATAGCAGACGGGTAGAAAAGTCAAGAATAAACACAATACTCGAATCATCAATTCTTGAAACCTGTTGCCCAAAGCAGTGGTGTCAGCACGTTCAATTGATCCGTTCTAAAGAAGACTAGACACTCACATAAGCTTATCAGAAAAGGACTAACATAGTCTGTAAGCCTTCTGTCCTTACTACACAAATCTGAATCTCAATCACTTACCTCACCCAACTCATAAGTTTGATAAGTGTATTCAGACTCTGAAGAATTCGCATTGAAGTATGAAATAGCAAATCTGATGAAGAAGAAACTTCAAGATGTATGTGAACCCAAAACTGTAGTTTAAGTGATAAAATAAGGGTTATGAAAACATAAAAGTAAAACAAACAAAAGAAATAGTGTCCAAAAATAGTCAAAATTGTTTTTCAGCTCAAATTTTTGTTATGAAATAAGATTACCTATTTTAGATAACATTACTGAAATGTCCAAGAATTGGAAGTTGAAATTAATCATGGAGGTAGTTGTTCTATATTCGAAATCTCCGCCATAGGATGAAGAGGCAGCATAGAGAGGATTCGTCTTCTCGCAGCAAGAAGGCCCGTGCCCCTAGTATATCGGACGAAGAAGGTACTAACGGGTGCATCAACTCTCCGAAGAAGTACAAAAGTCCTCCTCGAAAGGCTTTGTTGAGACGTCCTTCACGTGAAGACAGATCAGTTGATAAATATGACCATCATGGTTCGAGACAAACATTCTTACTTCGACCTAATCCCGCAGCAAAGTTTGTCAGTAGCAACAATTCCAGCCGCTCATTTAACCCTCACAGGTAATTTATAAGTGATGTATCTAGTTTGCGTGAGTTGTTCCGAGTACTCAATCGTGTTAGTACCTGTTGCTAACACTTTGGATTTCGGTCATCATTGTTCATATTTCATGCCATTACGTATTTATGTGGTTCACTCATTTTGCAGTCGCTATTGTATCATTTATTTGTTATTACAATACCAATGTCACTCATATTCATCATGCATAGTACATAAGTTTTGTCCTAATTATGGGTTTAAATTTTTCTGTGGTGGAGCATTTCTTAAGCAATTATGTCTTTTACTTATGACAATGGAGCAGATTTCCGTCTTGTAGCAGCTACAGTTATTCTTGTCGGAGTGATGGATATTAACGGTCCATACATTAAATGCATTTAAAATTGCTCAAATAACATCTTGTTACTTCAATTCGTAATGGAGAGGAGCAAATTGCATTTCATATATATTAAATTGAGATATCGGAATGATATGTCCTCGTCCACATTCAGGCTTTTTAATTCTAAAAATCGAGAAAATATTTCGGGCATTTAAATTGTCGTTAACTCGACCATGTTTGCTAAAATGCGTCCGCCTAAGTGTAGGCCACATTCGTCAGAAATGAAGCTTTTTGTCATATAAAATCTTTTAATTAAAATGAATCTATCAAGTTTTCTTAATGAGATTGTTCCAGCTGAACATATGATCATGAAAACCTACATTCTTATGCTATCACTCATATGAAATGCTTTTCCTGCATTTATCTCAACTAATCTGCACAGTTGTCCGAATCGACTTAAGGCATTTGCAATATCATTTGAAATTATTCAGTATCTAATGTCCACCTCGTATTGCTGGTCCAGTTTAGTTAACAAGTAATTTCATAGATAGTCGCAATTTTAGTGAAGAATAAATAAAATGTATCTCAGCAAAATAATGTGCACATGGTGTCCAGAAGTACTAAGATTATAACTGATTTTTTTAAATGATCGACGAAAGTTCTGTAAGAAACATCAGAATTCAAAAGATGCACTTATAACATCTGGAGAATATTTTGGTTGTCCAGTTTCAGTAAGTTCATTTATGGTAATTTTGTAATTTGTTCAATACGCAGTTAATTCATACTCTTTGCTTGGAAACAAGTTATAAAAGCATTAAAGTGTCTAGTCAACTAACCTTTCACTTCCATTCGTTGCCACTATTAATCTGTATCTCATTCACTGAACTAAACCCTTAGCACATCTATATGTCCCGCTGTGGTTTTTGTTAGGACTCATCACAAGGCTGGTGGTAATGTTTCGTCAAACCACTTCAGTTTCATGAACCACCACTGGTCGTTTTCATGTGTTCACTTGTCGGATTTTACCAAGACAAAGTAAACTATTATTCCTATTAAATAGTCGAGTTACTAATAAGTTATGAATGAAGTTGTTAATATAATAATGAGCTAAATATTGTTTCATTGTATATGCTTTAGTATAGTGATGAAACATCTAGTTTGTCCTTTATTAATCAGTACCACGAAGCGTAGGGAGCATATCCAAGTTTGACGAAATCATTAAACATAAGAAAATGGAATTCACAATATTATCCCAAACACTTCAGTAGCACAATGATTTTATAAGAACTTTTGTTAAGATTTGAACGACCAGTTATGAAGGATAATAATAAGAAGTCATACTCCTAGGAATCTCCGCTACCAGAATTTTAGTTGACAGTGTGGTCACTCATCAAAGTCTGACTAGCGCTTCCAATCTACTGAAACTCCAATCACTAGTTTTACAACTATTCCTTAAGTGATGCAGTGATTTGTGTGCTTTTTGAATGCCTTAACTTATCTGACTAGGTTATTTCAATAAATACAGTTCTGGAGGAATTCCTCTTAGTGTTTAATTGTTGTTTTGTGGGAATGTATTCGTTTGTGACACAACTTAAATTAACAACTATGACTGACTGACAATATAGAGCGTCAGGATCTCCGTTCTTAGAAGAGTGTTTCCTAGAAAATACCAATTGGTATGAAGTTATCTGGAGATTTTGTTGTACTGAGAATATAAAGGCAGATCTTCAAAGTTATGTTACAACTGTATCATTTTGATTCGATCGGATGATTCAATTCTACATGACACTGTTTGAAACGCGAATAGTGCATGGAATGTACGTTTCACCATTGTTTTAAAGTCAGTACTATTGGGGATTTCAGAAGTCAAACTTTACAAAATTGTCGGAAATAGGTAAAGTTAAAGTAAGTCAGTTTCCTTAACTAATGACCATTTCATTCTGAAAGATGAGATATTGTTCATTGATTTCTTGCTCGTTTCAGTTTAACATAACCTTTGGATGGCCTTATCTAACCTTTGCAGCTCTAACTATAACCATCGACTTGCTATTTCTTCATCAGAGTTAGTTTCTGCTATGTAACATTATTTTATGAATGTAGATCCTGCGACTGTAATCACCGTAAACCTTTCAGTTCAACTTAATGTAGCTTGACTAAGTTTTCCGTTTTATCAGTAGAAAGTGATACTGTTTAGTAAAGACCTTGTTATTGGATAAGTATGTTTATGAACAACACAAACTTCCTACTTTTTTCATCGAATTTTTTTTTCAGTGAGTGGCATTTTATACAAGTCACACTAAATTATTTTAAACTAAACGTTAAACCACTGAGTTACTAAGAAATATTGACAAGACTTGTCATTCAGTCGATTTCACATTTAGACTCATTATATATTTGCTTGATTTATTTTTTCATGCTATTTCAGTGAATATTCAAGTTCAAAGAAATCCTACGTGCCATCAAGTGATCGACTATCTAGTCATTCGTCAAAGTCCTTGGTTAATTCTTCTGGTCGAGTCAATCCTATGTTGGCAGCAAGTCTTGCATCATCAGGAAAATTACCAAACCTTCCAATTCCTCTTGGGTCCAAACGGGGTTCATCTGCAACGGTTGCGGCCGTAGCCGCAGCTGCGATGAACGCAGCCGCAATGGCTGCAGCATTAGGTGCTGGGGGTGTAATATCAAGCAAACAAATGTCACACATAACCAAAGCACTGGCATCTGCTACTCGGACTGGCCGTGATCGCCATGATTCATCGTCACACAGACCTCCCCGGAGTTCCAGCGATAGGTATACAGGTGAGGATTCAAGAAGCAGTCGTCGAAAAACAACTAGTAAGGAAAAAGATATGCTTAGCATTTTCAATGCTCGTTACGCTCGTCCAGTAGAACATCGCAATCCCGAAGATGATCCTAATGCAACAAGAACATTATTTCTGGGTAATTTGCCACCAGATGTCGAGGAACCTGAACTGAGAAAGCTTTTTGAACGTTATGGTATAATTGAAGATATTGATATTAAGCGCCGTGAACTAGAAACTGGAGCAACCGCATTCGCTTTTGTTCGATATCTTAGTCTAGACATGGCACACCGTGCAAAAGTTAATTTATCTGGACAAATGATCGGTGAATACAGATTCAAAATTGGTTACGGAAAAGTTATTCCTACACGATGCCTATGGGTTGGTGGATTGGGTCCATGGACGAATTATCCTGAGTTCGCAACCCTTGTTAATAGTATCAGCGCACCTGAGAAAATCATCTGGCCGTCTGGTAAAAACTATGCCCATATTCTTTATTGTGATAGCGAGTCGGCTGCTATTGCAGCTGATCTTTTACGTGGATATCCGTTAGGAAAAAGTCATAAACGGATCCGAGTGGACTTTACTGATGAGTCACATATGTTTAGAGATCCTAATTGGAAACGGCTTAAAAGAAATTCGTCCACAGAATCAAGTCCCAGACATTACTCACCCAGAAGATCACTGACACCTCGAGCAAAACGTGAAGATTCTTTTTCAGACAATGCCTACTCTCGTAATAATCATTACTCAAAATATAAACGCGACCGAAAGACGTATGCTGATAGTGACCGGAGTCGTTCTGCTTCGTCAAGTCATAGGCGAGAATCTGGCCATAGATCTAGAAAAGCTACACATGAAAGGGCGCCTAAACGTAGTCTAAGAGATCACTCACTGAGTCCTGAGGCTGACTCGACGCGTTTTGTTTCGCGTTCTCCTTCGTCATCGAGATCTCGCAGATATTCATCTTCTTCCTCGAGATCACCTACATTAGAAACATCCACAAACGTAGAGCAGTTAGCATCTTGCCTTCCTTCGGCATGGGATGGGTCGTTTTATCTAAAGTCGAGCAGTTTTCAGTGCCAAATGCATATTTTGAGGGGTGACAGAAGCCTTGTCGATCAGTTCATGTATCAGGGATTCAATTCAGAAGCATCTGCGCATTCGAACGAAACTCGGCATGCAGGTAAAAAGTCGAACAAAGATAAACATACATCATTAGATGACATTGATTCTAGTGAATCTCAGGATGATGCACATGGTAGCGCTAAAAGTAGTTGTACAAACAAAGACCAGGTAGTTTGTTTACGTATTACTCAACGAATGAGACTAGATCCAGTGAAGTTAGATGATGTGAATCAGCGCATTCAGACAGCCGGTTCCTCTGGGTATTGCATTCTTTTGGCTGTACCTCCACATTCGGTTTCATGCAGTGAAGTTGGAGATGGCGATAAGCAACCGCAAAGACCGCTTCGAAATTTAATTGGATATTTACGTGCAAAAGACTCCGCAGGAGTGGTTCTTTTAAATCCTGGTGGCCAAAACTCGAACGATTCTTCTTCCCCTTTAACTACAGAAACTACATCTGGGGTGCTGTATGCATTTCCACCCTGTGATTTTGCTTTGAATCTATTGCGTGAAAGCGCTCCTCAGCTAGAGAAAGATTATGGTAAAGATGATTACCTAGCTATAATACTAATTCGTGGGGCCGGAGTTGTGTAGACAATACCCAAAGAACCAAGCTTCCAAATGAACTTCTGTTGGCAACAATGTTACTCGCTAATGCGCCCTTACTTTGTTTTCTGTGCGAAAAAACTAACTTTTCTTACTAGTGTCAAGCTTCATTATGTTACACCTCCTAAAAGAGCATTTACAAAAAAGACGTTTGTTTCTGTACTTGTTGTATTTCAGAAGAATCAGTGGAATTAATACATATAATATTCTTTAAACTTTGTTTTTTATTGTTCACCAAACGTGCTAGTGAAGTTGAGCCGCTTAATTTACAGTCTGAAAATTCTGAGTTGAGTGTTTGTTACCGCTTAGAAAGACAGAATTTCGTAGTTCAAGTCTGTTCGGTCTCTGCAGGACAAAACAATCCATAGAATGCTCCCTTAGCTTGTTTTAGCTGATCAAATGAACCAGACTCGACAATCCTACCTTTGGATAAGAACAAAATCTGGTCGACTTGTGTCGTTGAGAGTAATCTGTGGGTAACTAGTAAATATGTACAGTCCTGTGATAGTTCTGTTAATAAGTTTTGAATATACCGTTCGTTCTCTGGATCCATTGCGGAAGTAATTTCATCTAGAAGTAGCAATTTTGGTTTACGCACGAGGGCACGCGCTATTGCAATTCTTTGTCTCTGACCCGTAGAAATATGTGTACCTCGAGGACCAGCTAATGTGTTGTAACCCTGAAGAGGAAATTTTACAATATATTTAATTACTCGAGACATTACAGAATTACAGTTATTCGTCTGTTTTAATATTAAGCTAAGTAGTTAGAATTTCTCCACTTATGGATTCTTGACATTGGGCATCAGAATGTCGGGTCTAATTTATCCATTTTATATATATTTATCAACTTAGGGGTACTTCACTTTTAAGAGGGCCATGCGTTCGAATGCAACACATGATCGAGGTCAAAAGTCAGCGTTACAATTGACCAGTAAACCATTGGGAGCAGTGATTAGTTTTGTAAGATATCAAAGATTCAATCGACATGTGATGCTTTGTGACCAACAATGTTATCATTGAAACGATTAAACCTCTTGAATTATACCAGATGATAAGACAAGTAGATTACACACGATAAAATCAATACACATCTTAGGTAGAATGGACAGTAACTTACTTGTGGTAGGGTCATAATAAATTCATGAATATTTGCACGTTGCGCAGCATCGGTTATCTCATCCATCGTTACAGGATGTGCGTTGTTCCCATACGCGATGTTTTCCATAAGTGTAAGATTAAAAAGTTGTGGTTCTTGATTTACGACACAAATCTGCTCGCGAATCCACTTGGGTGAAATCATTCTTATATTAATATCGTTGAGAAATATCCCACTATTTGTGTTACTACTGTCAGTTTCGTAAAGGCGATGAATCAAACATAAAATACTAGTTTTACCACATCCAGAAAGCCCCACAATAGCAGTATTTTGACGAGGTTGGAATGTCCACGAAAAGTCCTAGTGGGACGAAAAGTTTCATGTTAAAACGGTGGCTTTCTATATCAATAAAATGTAGATCTTAAGTTCTGTTTTTCTTTCGCATCTCAGATCCATCAATTATATCACTACTTTCACTCGGTCTAGTTTCACGACAGAGAATTGTGTATCAAATGTCTGGAGGAAGTATGATAAGGACACACTAGTTCTCATTGAATAAGGTAGTCAAATTTCTCTACGAAGACAAGATTGTATAGTCAGGATAGTTCGAAAAGGACAGTTTAAAGAAACGCTCCTCTAACATGGTAGAGGATGACTGGTCAAGATTGCAGTGAAAAAAGTCGTCAATAGGTTTCTTGTTTGAAGAAAGAAAGACAAGAAACCTATTGACTGCATTAAATAGGCTCGTGAGATGCAGAAATCATCGCGCCAGCTCTTACTGACTTTCAATTAGTCACGAGGAAAAAGCAGTGAAAGGAAATGTAACCCTCTTCCAGATTGCTATATCGAACACGAAATAGTACACAACTAGTTAGGTTTTAGGTCAGAAAGGAACGGGAAATAAAGTTGTGGCTCTGTAACGGTAAAGAGCCTTATTGCCGGAAACATCAACCAGAGTAGACAAGTAGTCTTTTTTAAATCTTACAAAGGTGTTGTGGATGGTTGTCTCCCGAATAGATAGTGTAACTCGTTTTATTTGTTTGCGTCCAAGGTCCTGAGAGAATTTGTCAACGGGAGAATATAAAGCTTCTGAAGTGGTGTACTTAGCCTGATGACCAACAGCACGGAACGTAACCATAGAATAACATAGAGTATTAAGACAATAAACAAATAAATTAGAGTTGACTGACATGAGTTGGTTAAAGAGGAAATGTATGTGAGCAGCAGTAATGGAGCAAAACACCAAAATAACATGCGTTTGAATTGAATATCCAATTAGTCCAACCTAATACAAATGAATATCGATTGACTTTAGAGGATTATGTCACAGTAAATGCTGAGTACCTATTGTTTCTTTTTTGATGTGTCAGACCTCATACTTGAGTAAGCGGTAGTAATATCCGTTTGATATCTTTATTATAACTACATAACATCCAGTGGGTAGATACGGTATCGGCTGCATATTACAGGTGAGGATTGTAAAGAATTTGAATACTACTAATTACATAGGGAACCATAAATCAATCTAACTTGTCACAGAAATACCAAACTAATACAAAATGAACTACAAAGGTAGGTATGGACTTGGCATTGTGTTACATCCCGAGATTTTTTTCATCGATCAGTAGTCTTCAGACTAATGAGAAGTTTTATTTTCAGGGTTTTCATAAAGCTCTCAATTAATCAAAGAGATTATAAATAGCTAGCAATTGCAAGAGTGCTGAACTTAAATCTGTTCACTATTTTATAGACAAAGTAGTAACGTATTATTCTTATTCATGTATCAATGGAAGTAAAAACAAAAACCAAATAAAAGGTATTAACTTTACAAGACAATAACGATATGCGTACATATGAAAAGGAAGCTGTATATTTGATAGAGGGAACATACTTCAGTTACCTACCTAGTTCTACCACTTAATTTAACAGCTTAATTTATTCGTATAGTAGAAACATCAGTTATCAGAAGGTTTCAGTGAGCAGAAATATCGAGTAAGGTTGTTCAGGAGCTAGGTTTATAGATTCTAGAACCTAGCGAATAATAATGGTACAAGTAAAGATTGCGGATACTCAGACTATTTAACCATTTGCAGTACCGGGTAAAACCCGTTAAAATTATAATTTTATCTTATAGAAATATACCACAGTTACCTTTAAAACCCAAGATGTTGGCCTAGATGGATATCTATATGATACTTGTCTGAATTCAATAGGAATATTGTTTATAGACTGATCAGGGCATAACCCTTCATCTACAGGAATTTTAGAATCTCTATCGAGAATTTTGAAAATTCGGTTAGCTGCCAATGAAGCATGCTTCATTTCGGGTCCCACATGTGATGTTCTACCAAGTGCTTGTGCAGCAAAACTGATAGCAGCGAAAACTCTTATGTAAAAAAGAAAAATGTATATGAGAACATCCACAACTATTTAAACAGATATGGTTTCATGTAGATGAGGTTTTATGAGTTATTTATTGTAAAGTATGTACTGAATAAATGTACTATTTATTCTTTTAAGAATTTACTAATAATGCTCATATTAATAGTTGTTCGTTTTGAATTCACCAAATAATTTAGAGGTTAGAAGTGACTTAACGTATGAGATCCGACATAAATGTGTAGCAGTTCAAGTCATTGTACGCATTATCACCAATACCGTGGAAGTGCATTAGCCAGAGAAAAGCATACAAAAATAATATCGAGAGTAATGGGAAAATAAACAGGAAAAATACCTCACAAAGACAATGAAATTACAGGATTGTAAGTTCAAAAATAATCCTAACACGTCATCATAAGTATTGCCAATCACCCTTTCCCTCTCCAAAATATATTACTACTAGCTTATTTTTGAAAATTCTTCCAACTCTCCAGAGTATATCAGTAAGTTATCTTTCCAAGATTAGAAAGAGTAACAAATAGAAGCGAAATGAAAACTCAAGGAATCATATTAAAACTTTAGTCAATATTCTTTTTCTCTTGTTTACTGACAAAACAAGAAAAGACCGAGAGAGGATACCCATCAGTGAGCATTCATTATCCTCAGGTTTCGCAGTAAATGTTCAACTTTTAGATCAATGAGCCTCAATCAATTCGCGATATTGCTCAATAAGCACCCGTTATCTTCGGTGGATAACTGTCCCATACCCGACACGGTAGAACTCCCATATTCACTTCTCACTAGAAATCCAGGGATTATTTCTTGAAATTAGTCACTAGTGAGCGAACGATGTAAGCTGAGATAACATTACAGTGATCACAAAACTCAAATAGTGTTCACATTTCTCATTCATGTTTGAATCTTTAGTTGAGAATTAGATTGTTTTGTCGAGAGAACACCAGACAATCGATTGTCTCTCACAAAAATGCTCATACACGTTGAACAAATTCAGACAGAATTAGAATATGAGATGATGACTAGCTGCAAAAAAGTTCAGGTTTTGTGTGTTTTCTACTTTGTTTTTCGGACTGATTACTAGGAACAAAGACAAAAGTTGTGTGATCAAGATTATACCATTTTAAATGTAAAACCAGAAGATTAAATAAATAAAAAACTGAAGTCGTGGCGTAATCGGTTACTATACACAAAAAACCAATCTACCACAAGTAAATTCGATTTTTCTAGAAATATAATCAATTTGTACAATCGATTTATCGTAAGTTACAGTGATTAGAGTAACTTTAAAAAAAATATCAAATGACATAATAATCATGATAAAATATATCTATAGTTCTTAATACTCATTTATTAATTACACGCTTATTTACTGACGGCTTTGAGTCACACACTTAGTATGAAGGCTATTCGGTTGTCTAGACTGGATAAAATAAACAGGGTTCGAACATGTGACTAATGATTAAAAGTCGAGTGGTTTATTCACCGAACTACTCGGTCCATACATTTTTAAGAGACACTTCTTTATAATAAAATATGCAGATAAAGATTATTGTTATTCTTATGAACCAGTCAGTCATAAGTAACGTAAAACCTGGGACATTAGTTTAAGTTGTCACACCATATCACCACAAAGAGATGAAATTATCAAGATAAATGTCAGGGTAGTAAAAGGAGTAAGTATCAGTAGTAGTAGAAACGGTTAGAAATATACAATGTG